GCCAAAATGTCTATTCAAGATAAGTGTGCTTGGCCAGTTTGTCTTCCCACTGGACTGCACAGTTCTGGGGGAGGAATTGTATTCTAGCTTTGCTTTTTTATCTGTATAATGGGAATAATTAGGACCACCTCCAGGATGGGGCTGGCAAGCTTAAAGTGATGTATGTAAAAGTACCTGGCACTTAGCCTGGCTCATGTGCTCAAGAGTACAATGATTACTGTTGGATTCTTTGACCAGTCCTGTGATAGCATAAGTTCCTTTTATCCTAATTAGTGCTGCATTCAAGGATTGGTTCATGTGGCATGCATACTAACCACCCATAGGTAAACTGAGGCTGGCCACAACCAGTCTGTCTCTGAAAGGCTTTTCATCACTCTTTGGATCCATGGCTGGGATGTTTTCAAACATGTAGCTAATGCTATGGAACTGTTTTCATGGCAAGGAAAAACAGCATTATGGCTACATCTGCCTTTATATTGCGCTTTTATGGAAACTATCCAGGCATTCTCAGTAGCATGGCTTAAAATATAGGAGTTTCTTGGTTAAAAAATGTCCTGGATGGTTTCCAACTGGACATAGTCCAAATGGTAACAACCAAGTTTAAGAAAGGAACTTGATATTTTGGAACTGCCATCTTCTCAACAAAACTAACTAAAGTCAGGGACTAACTGGTTGAACACCCTTGAGTTCACGGAAGCTATCTGAAATAATCCAATTCAACAACAACAAAAAATCTAAGTTCTTTGGTTTGGTTTCTGTTTTCTCCCCCATTGCTCTTAATGACTTCATTTAGAAACTCCAAAGCAACACTATGTCTGGGGTGTCCATTCAGACCATGTATTTGTTAATTGAAATAAATGAATCTTTTAGAGATAGGATAGACATATTATTGTAAAAATACAGTGATGCACCATGTAACAACATTTCAGTCAACAAAAAACAATATATACGATGGTGGTCCCATAAGATATAATAGAGCTGAAAAAATTTCTATTGCCTAGTGACATCATAGCCATCATAATGTAGTAGCACAATTACTTTTTTAAACAAAAAATAAATTTAGTATAGGCTAAATGTATGGTGTTTATAAAATCTACAGTAGTGGACAGTATTGTCCCAGGTCTTCACAGTCACTCACCACTCACTCACTGACTCACCCGGAGCAACTTCCCGTCCTGCAAGCTCCATTCATGCTAAGTTCCCTATACAGGTGTACCTTTTCTTTTTCTTTTAAAAATCATTTATACCTATTTTGTTATTGTACCATTTCTATGATATATTTAGACACACAAATACTTACCATTGTATTACAATTTCCTGCAGAATTCAGTACAGTAACATGCTATAAAGGTTTGTGGCCTAGGAGTCATAGGATATACCATATAGCCTAGGTTGGTAGTAGGCTGTACCACCTCAGTTTGTGTAAGTACACTCTAGAATATTCACACAACCACAAAATTGCCTAACAGCACATTTTTCAGCACATATCCCCTTCCTTAAGCGATACATAAATGTATATAACTCTACAGCCCTGAGACATACAATTTATACCTTCTTAAGCCCAAGCCTTACCCTCTTATTTGGGACAGAGACTTTTATTAAAGGAGGCTAGAAACTTCATTAGATTTAGAAGACTTGGATCAGACCTGTTCCAAGACTATAACACATCTGAAACTCATAGAAGCTTGGAAAGGGGAAGAACTGCTGGGACTTCTCTCCTCCAGAAATTATTAAGGATTAAAGTTAAATGTATTTTTACTTGGTTACATTTAATTACTAAAGGGTATTACTGCTCATATTTGAATTCTGACAAGTGTTTTTATGTGTACCCATATGTGTACATACATATGCTCATTAATTTATTTAATTTCCCTTAAGAAAATATCTGTGTAATTTAAAACAAAAAATAAATTCCCCTGTGATTTAATCTCACATGTTCTGAAATTTAGGTCAGTTCTTTCCCCTAGTACCACAACTGACATGGAGCAGAGGCTCAAACTCAGGTCTCCAAACTCTCCCAGTCCAATGCTCTTGCCTCACGGCCATTCAGAGTTCCAGCTGGGAAGAATGTTATTCCATGGATAGACACCCCATTAAAAGCACTATGTGTTCTCCAAAAGGGCAGTCATATTGCTGGGGTCAGGCCCAGAGAGAACATTAACTATCAAGAACAAAGAGAGAGGCTGACTAGTTCCAAGCCTGTACTCAGGCATACTGGGGCCAGTGTTTTCAGACCTGGTGCCCTTGTGAGAAGTCCTTATAAACAATCCATACTAGAATGAAAGATCTGCATTTTGTCAACCAGGGAAAACAAGCAAAGATGAGGAAAACTAATAAATTTTCCCAGTAATTAAGGAATTCTGTTTTACAAGACTGTAATCTCTCTCTACTGCAATAAGTGGCGGGAACGTGGCCAGGATATTTCCTGGCCTTCGGTGGGAATCTTTCTTATATCCTGCCTGGCTTAGGGGCTGCTTCCCACCAAACTCTAGGTACTAGCGGTCTTGTCTACATTCATAATGTTCTTAATTGCCAGGAGGATTGTCCTGCCAAATGGAAAATCTTAGAACTTGGCTTAAAAAGCACAACTATAGTAAAATACGGAAGATTGATAGCAATGGCTAAGATGATAATAACTTTATTACAACGCTGATCTGTCTTATGTTAAATCCATACCCTACCATGAGAAGGTAACTTATTCCAACTGAAGTTTGATGGACAGTGCTTGGACTTTAGATCAAGCAGCCAAAAAGAGAGCAGCTCATTCGTAAAATGAACTCAGTATGATCTAGTCCTACTTGATGTTTCCTACAGAGAATTTTAGTCTAATTGACTGCGCTTTATACCACTGTACTATGAAGTTCTGTTACCTGGAAATGCAGCTTCTAATTTTTAACCACAATTGACGAGTTTATTTCTGTCAGTTACAAAGTGCTGACATATTGCATTCTATGGCATATATGCAAAGGAAGCAGCATATTTCATAATGAGAGCCTAATACTCTTGCTTTAGGGGTAAGATCATTTTATAGTGCCAAATATATTTTTATATTTTTTCATGTTTGGAAATCTGCATTGATTTCCTAAATGCTTGCATGTGTGTGTGTGTGTGTGCGTGTGTGTGTGTGTGTTACTGATTTTTTTTTTTTTCTGTCTTTTTGTCTTTTTTCCGTGTCCGGCAACGGATCGCAACCCTCAGTGTTGCCCCCGTACCGGACCGGGGACCGGCAACGGGATTGCAAGCCTCGGTGCTGCTCCCGCGCCTCACTCAGCCAGCGAGCGGGAACCGGTCCGTATGTGGGATCCGAACCCTCGGGCGGGAGCGCCGCCGCGCTTCCCCAGCGGTGCACTATCCAGTGCGCCACCGGGCTGGCCCAGTTACTGATTTTTTTAATGAGGGTGAGGTAAAGTAGGAGTGGACCCAGAGGATAAGATCTATTGTTTACTAGGCTAACAAGGGAAGGGCAATCCGAAATGTGATTAATGGAAGAGATGAAATGAATGATATCAAAGGTGATTTTGATTTCTGTAGTTCCATATAATTTGGTCCTTAAATCAGGGTTATAGTTTTATTATTCCACTCACTTGTTTTGTTGTTGTTGTTGCTTATTAAAATTGAGGATTCTAGGTTTTTGAAATTTAACTTTGAAATAGAAGGCACAGATCATGCCAGAAAACCAAATAAGAGAACTGGAATCTCCATTGCCTTTCTCAGAGCCTCAGTCTATTTGGGAGTCTTTCCCAGCTGTTTTATGCAATTATTCGTGATCTTCCAAAAGGTGAGCAATTCACTTCAAGTGTGCCATTAGGCCACTTGAATGTCATAAATTATTTCATTTTGAAAATTTTCAAGTATGGGACTATTACACAGAAAAGTCGACTTCCATTTTCTATTATTAGGAATGAAAGAAGTTGTGAGAGAAATACTCCCTTGGTACATTCTTGGACAAATGGATATTACAAAATCTACAATAGTTAATCTGAGGAAATTGGTTTCTCCAAACCCCACCTTCAGATATCATTAATAAAAAATGAAGACAGTGCTGAGTGAATTGCAGGGCCCTGGCTTCTGAACTTCAACCTATAGTCATGTAATCTCTTATTTCATCTCTTCCTGGATGCCCTGGTTTGTCTTTAATATATAGACACCACATGATCTGGAAATAGTGAAGTCTTGGGCTGCCTGGCCATAGCAACCTATCTGACATTTCGTATCCAATCATGGCTGCTTCGATGTGTCCCTAGTCCATCCAAGTCAGTAGAGGGTGAATATTGTGCTTAATGATGTCTGTAGCTGAAGTGACACAATGTTCAAAAAACTAGTCAGAATGTGGGAAACAAGCCATCTAGATACATTTTTTTTCACTAAAACGATAGTTGTTTTCATATCTCAGGTACTAATATTCAGCCTGTGTCTACAACATTAGAGGGCCTAATGGTGAACTCATTAATTTTTACTTACTTGCTTATCATGGGTATTATGGTCTGAAATTTTGTTTTAACACAGAATTCATATGTTGAAATCTTTACCCCCAAGGTGATGGTGTTAGGAGATGGAGCATTTGAGAAGTGATTAAGTCTTGACAGTGGAGTCTCATGAATGGTATTAGTGCCCTTATAAAAGAGGCTCCAGAGAGACCCCTTGCTCCTTCCACCACATGAAGTTAAAGTGAGAAGGCAGCTCTCTATGAACAAATGAGCTTTCACCAGATACTATTTCTACTGGTGCCTTGATCTTGGACTTCCTAGCCTCTAGTACTGTGAAAAATACATTTCTGTTTTTCTTATAGGCCACCCAGTTTATGGTATTTTGTTATAGCAGTTCTAGTGGACAAACACAATGGGAAATCTGATTCTCCCCCCTAACCCAACTACATATTACTGAGTCAAGGTTCATAGTTTCAAGGAGCAGGAGAGAGGACAAGATTAGCTCAGCACCAAGGAATTGTTTCCTTGCCAAATACCCCTGAACAAGCCCGGTTTGGAAACCCAAGTACTCACAACTTGAATGATACTGACTTTGTAGAAGCTCTGGTGGTCGGGTCACTCCACTCTGAAAAGAAAGGACACAAACAATTATTGTTCATGTTTCTACTGTCAAATAATTATTCTGATTAAAATTGGTTTTCAAACATGCAGCCCTCCCAGTTATACAGTTTCACAGCTTTCTGCCATGAATAACAGATTTTTAAAAAGGACCTGGTTGGATGTATCACAATACAACTTTTTATTATTGTTGTTCTTTTATGTTTTAATGATTTTAACTAGAAAAAAAGAAAAGGTGCAAATGGGAGTATTTCATTTGTTTTCATAGCTGAGTAGTATTCCATTGTGCAAACAAACAGCAACAACAACAACATCAATAACAACAACAACAACAACAAAAAAAAAACCAGGGGGGGGGAGGAAGATTTAACAACCTCAACTTTTTTATTTTTTTGAAGCTCCTACGACAAGAAAATGGAGGGGACACATCTGGGTGGGAGGGGGGAGAGGGAGGAGGGAGGGTGGTTTTGGTGATGGGACACAATAACTAACTACATTGTATATTGACAAAATAAAAATTAAAAAAAAAGAAAAGGTGAAGGAGAAGAGAACATGTATACTTGAACTAAGAAGGATTTTTCAAGATCACTTACTTTGTAAGGTGAATCCTGGGGTCAGATGTTGGGATTCCTGTAAGAAAGAACACATATAATACAAAACTTAGTTAAATGATACAAGGGGAACAAAAGGTGTATCTGTTATGGCTGAAGATATATAACTTGACTAACGTTAGCAAATAGAAAACCACGGTTAACAATCCCTTTAATTAGGTTTCTGTCTGTAGCTCTATTTAAAGGATAAACATTTGATAGCCAAACCTGCTGCAACATGATCATAGCTGCCATTTTATCAGACTTATAAGTAAGACTGGTATGTATTTGGAAATTTGTGCAACATGGGAACAAATGATGCTATATGTGTGAAATTCAAGTGTATAATTTCTCACTTAGCTAGACAATGATGCCTCTAAGGAAGCAAAGGGGACTTGGTTCAAACAAATAAGTAATCATAGTTTTTGTATAAGCATAAAGAAGATAGTAATTAACAGATTTGCTCAGATTTTTGCTCTTATAAAAACAACAATATTCGACCTTAAGTATGACGCATATGTAGTAGATGTACCTCATTTTGTACAAGAGATATGGTCTTAAAACTTCATTACAAGTCTACTGAAGTATAGGAAGCAATTTGAAATGTTAGTGGAGCTCATTATTTAAAGGAATTTAAATGTGATTTGAAAGTCACCCTACACACAATTCATTCACTGTTTCAAGAATCCAGATTTGCATGCATCAGGCTTGCTGACAGCGTGGTCCACCTGTGAGGATTCTGACAAAACGTGGAGGCAAAATCACCACAATGATGTTCAGGGAACAGACGGCACCATGCGGATGAGAGAGAGAAAGACTTAGCACAGACTGCAAAGCAAGCATGCCATAACTGGAGACAATGAATTCAAGCAAATAGAAAAATTAGTTATATCAATCACTGCTGCAAATAATCTATTCATTAAGCCTAATCTTGCTACCCTATAGAGTAAAAATAGGATCTCAGCATAACTTATGTTTAAAAGAATTAAGCAAAAACTATTCACTGTGCTTTTAAAGACAGTGAACTTTCCAATGCAAATCAAAACTACATTGAGATACCATCTCACCCCAGTTGACTAGCTATTGTCAGAAAGACAGAAGAACAAATACTGGTGAGGATGTGGAGAAAGGGGACCTCTCCTACACTGTTGGTGGGACTGTAAATTAGTACAACCACTATGGAAAACAGTATGGAGGTTTCTCAAACAACTACAGATTGATCTTTCATATGATCCAGCAATCCCACTTATGGGTATATACACAGAGGAATGGAAATCATCAAGTCAGAGGGATACATGCTCTCCCACGTTCATGGCAGCTCTATTTACAATAGCCAAGACATGGAACCAACCTATATGTCCATCAATAGGTGACTGGATAAGGAAAATGTGGTATATATACACCATCAAATACTACTCTGCAATAAAAAGCATGAAATTCTGCTATTCACAATAACATGGATGAGCTTGGAGAAAATTAGGTTAAGTGAAATAAGCCAGGCACAGAGGGAAAAATATCACATGTCCTCAATTGTAAGTGAGAGATAAGAGAAAAGGAAGGAAAGAAAGACCAGCGTGGTGTTTTGGAGTTGCAGAGGGAGGGAACAGATCTAGGGTTGCTGGGGGTGGAGAAGTGGATGGGGAGAGAGGTTGGGGTGAGGTTGGGTGGGGGATATGGGGAATAATGGCAATTTGTGGTAATGGGCATATTGATACTATTTGTCCTATCATCACATCTTGGACACAAGAGGTGATGGTTAGCTTTGTACCCCATGAATCTGCATAATCAATAAAACACACACACAAATTTTTTTTTTTAAAGAAAATTATGTTAAGTGAAATAAGCAAGGAACAGAAAGAGAAATACCACATGAACTCATTCATAAGTTGGAGGAAAGGAAGGAGGGAGGGAAGGAAAGAAGGAAGGAAGGAAGGAAGGAAGGAAGGAAGGAAGGAAGGGGGAAAGAATCACAATAATACATTGAACTTTCAGAAGGAGAGAACAAAACTGTGGTTTCTAGAGCCAGGAAAGGAGTATGGGGAGGGGGAATAACAAGAACTGTGTTAATGGACAGTTAGGAAAAATAAGTTCTATTGATGTACAGTCAAGCTAGGCACCTATAATTAACAATAATTTACTGCATGCTATCAAATGACTAGAAGAGAGGAGATCGAATTTTCTCAACAAAAGCAAATAATTATGTTTTGTAATGATGAATATGCTAATTATCCTGAGTTGATCATCACACATTGTACACAGATATTGATACTCAACTCTGTACCCCACAAATATGTATAATCAATTATGTTTCAATAAGAAAAGTGAACTTTCCAATCTACTTAGCATGATTCTATTGCCTAAGAGATTTGTCTTCTGGCAAGATCACTACTCCAGAAGACCACCATGAACTCAATAAAAGATGGACAAGTCCTCTTAGTTAGAGCTGTCACAAAGCCCATGCAGTTTGCTGTTCAAAGACTTCTGTATCCTCACTGATAGTGAGTTGACTTTTGACAAACGACTCTAAAATTCTTGACCATTTGATTCCCATCCCTTAGCAAATCACAGTTGGCCAGGAAGGTGAAACACTTTTAGGAGCCCAGACTCTGGGAATGTTGAGATGTGAAAACCACCAGCATAGGAGTTCATGGAAAATATCACAACGAATTTTAACCATTTTAAAATGTAAAAACCTATGGGACATAGTTTGCCAGCCTTTGATAGAGCGTGCTCGCCTCCAGGAAGTCTACTAAATTTCCTCTGAGGACATTATCACTCCTTCAATTCTGCTTACAATGTACTTAATCCCTTCCTTGTGAAGTTTTCCATTCTCTATGAGAAGACATGGCATTTTCAATTTGGGATTGGTAAGTAAACTTAAGTAAGTTGAGAATTTTCAACTGTACTTTTTTTTTTATAAGTTTACAGAATCATAGACTATTTGACCTGAAAAATCTACTGGAATTATATAATATGTGCACACACACGCAACACACACACACACAAACACACACACACTGTACCCCTAGTACAGATGGAGAAACTGAGGAGGCTCGGAGAAAATTGAATAGGACCACACAACCAGCCAATGGCAGAGCCAGGACTATAAGCAGCCAGGACTGCAGCTCTTCAGATGACACTCTTTCTGCAGGGCAAGCTCTGTCAGGGATGTAAGAAACTGGTGCTTTCCAAGAGGGTTGTTTCACTTAGTTCTGATGCAAGCATCGAGGAAAGGGCAATCACCCCCATTACACATATTTACTGGAGACAGCCATGTTTTGGAAGATGCCATTTGAATTGGGCATCTGTAAATATGTTTGATAAAAGATACACCAAGAGACAGTGTGACCCCTGGCACCAATACACCTGGTTCTATATTCTGGTTAACTCATTTTTTAACTGAGTGATCCCAAGCACTTTACTTAACTACTATGCGCCTCACTTTCCTTCTTTGTAAATTAGGGATAGTAAAAGTACAAATGTCTTTGGATTGTAGTGAGGACTGAATTATTTATTATGTATTAAGGACTTAGAATGAGGTGAGGAACATTGTATACGTGTTGTATATGTATTGTACATATATTGCTGATGATGTTATTTAAAATGTACTTCTCTTTCAAACCAACATTTTGGCAGGAATCAAATGACATGAAAGAGTGGGTGTGTAGCCATCGTAGTTTCACCATTTTATCCCACTTACTTCTACCTTTATCATAAGGTTGATGGTAGCACAGATAACTAGCAGAAAATGCAAATCGTGCCTGATTCCAAATTGTGCATTTACTTGAAAATCCCATCTAAACAACAGGTTCTATCGTATACACTCGTAAATGTTCAAATTGAGACTTGTACAAATTATCTTCAGAATTGGAGAACCCAGCTAAAAACACTGTAATTGCTGTACAAGTATCAGATTCAATGCCTGTAATGGATGGAGCTCTGCCTTTGCTGGAGATGCCAGGAAGAAAGACACCAAAAAAAGGGAAGCCTAAGGAGGGTGGCTGGGGATGCAGGAAGAAATATACATCCAGACTGGATGAGGTCGCTGCACACTTAGTTCCAACCCCTTTCAAAGGTGAGAGGGGATAATCAAACACAGTTTAGATAGGTGTCATTTGTCGAAATCATGACCCTAAAAACTAAGGGATATCATTGGGTGTTTCTCCTTCTATAAATAAAGTCCAAACTCCTTTGAGTGGCTTCCAAGGCCTTTCACAGAGATGCATCTACTTGCCTGGAGTTCATCTCTCCCCACTTCCCATCACACAAACTCTGGTGCAGACCCTCAGGACTTCATACCAGTATGACTCAGACAATGATCCCTCACGTCTCAGTGCCTTTAGTCATGCTGGCCTTCTGCATGGAGTGTTCATCTCTTGGGCCTTTCTCCACTTGTCAGAATCTTAAAGTCCTAATCATCCTCTAAATGATGCTAATTCCATGGTGAGCTAAAATCCTCAGCTCCCCAGGGAAGTGTTAGATACTTCTCTGAGCCTGGTGTTCTCTATGAAGACACCCTCTACCTTGTATGGATTACCTGATAACATGAAGAGAGCTCTTCTTCATCCCTAACTTTAAGCCCATTGTATGCCCTCAGTAAATGGCTTCTGAATTGATAGATAGATGAAAGGAAGGAAGGAAAGAAGGGAAGAAGGAAGGAAGGAATAATTTGTTTTTTCTTCTAAAGTGTGTTAGAATAACCATGTCTATTTAGGCTTTTAAAACTGATGGTAGTAAAAAATTCTTACTGGGAGCAGGTGAGGACAAATTTTTATGAAACATTTGATAATAGAAATGTAAAAGGAAAAATTTTGTCAGTGTAATGTGTTAGTTTGTAAAGACATGTCTGCTTGTGAGCAAGGACTAGAAGGTGATATTCGAAAATGAAAATTGATCCATTAGAATGAAGAGCATAGTTCTTTGTAATTGAAAAATCTTGGATGTTGCTGTTCCATCATCCATTTGGTGTTTCTTAAGGGATGAGTTCATCACGCTCTGATTCATTAGCTCTGGGCACAGTTACTTGGACAGCAGAAATGCTCTAGATAGTAAGAGATGCATGCCAGTGTCTGTGTGCATATTGCTTAAAGGCTATCCTTCAACAAAACTTATATTTATAGTACCATCCTGAGGGACAAGCGAGTCTAGATTTTATGGTATGAGATAACCAAGGCCATTTTTATCATTAAGAATCCCATTGGAAGATTAGTATAATTAAAATAAGATAAAGGAAAATGGAGGAAGGAAGAGAACTGACCTGTCCTGGGATGGAAAATGTGTTCTGCTCAGAGTTTCCAGGAGTATGCATGGCAGTGAGAGTAGGCCAGGAATGGGTCATCTCCTGATGGGGAAAAACAAAGCAACTTTATTTCCTGGTGCTTAGAAAACCAAAGCCATTCTTGGCACTAAATATAGTAGGCATTTTAGAAATACTTACTGACTCAATTGACCCAACTTGTTTAGGGGAACTTAGGGTCATTTGATCCAATCCCCTGCCCCATACTGGTGCTCGAAGCCTACTTGCAACACAAAGGACTACCTAGCACCTGTTTACACATCGCCAGTAACTTTGAGCTCACTACCTCTAGAAGCAGCCTGTCCCATGTTGAGATGGCCTGACAACCTGATGAGACTACTCTTTCTGCCTGTGAGCCAAAAACCTGTCTCCTAGGAGCTTCTACCTATGGATCTTACATTGGACAATCTCTTCCTTCTTTTACATGACAAGCCTTCAGCTGCTGGGAGACAGCAGTCCTATCCCCTAGTGTTGTCCCCTCTACAGGCAGAGACATTCTTAGCTTGTTCATTCATTTACTGGGAACCTTCAACTTTTCCTCTAATGCTCCAGTTCTTCATTCTGTCACTATTTCAGGTATTTCTGGAAAAAACTCCTGATTGCCTGGGGCTCTTCTAACTCATGGTATCCTGTTCCAGGTGTGATCTGCCAGCTCAGAGGAGGGCACCACTGTCAGCACCTTTGTTCTGGATACTCTGATACACATCTTCTCTTGATGCAGCCTAACACTTAGTGACAAGATGATGCACGTGCTGTTGATTTTTTCATGCAAAGATGAGGCAGCTGAGGAGAGTGCTTTCTCATTCATAGAGGAGGTTACTATGTGATTGGTAGCTTGGTTCTACCCAGCTGTACACACTGTGCATTTGTGAGTCCAAGTCTCAAAACAGGAAAAGCTCCTCAGGCTCCCACCCTCTGTTATCAGCAGGGGTACCTTCTCAGCTCTTTCAAACACTCAGTTTGAAAAGAGGTGCTGTTCAAATTTTGCTTGAGTCTTAGGGCACGTGGCCAACATGCTTTACCCTAAGAGCAAAGATAATTAAATCACATGCTCAAAATCCCAGCAACAGAGAGATGACAAATTTTGTGAAGCAGGAGGTAGTCAGCATGTGTTGGATTCATCAAACATTTTGGTATATAAACATTAAACATAAAAATCAATGTAACAATGGAAATAAAGGAGTGCTTTGGGGAGGAGTGAAAAGGATCAAAGTTATGAAAGTCCTTTTTAATGAGTAAGATACATAATACTTTTTCCCAATCTTTATGGGCAACATAATTAGTCATTTCAAAGGTAATATTAATAAGAACTCTCAGGTAGCACTAAAACATGTTTTTTCCTTCTATAATTACCCAGTTCAAAAAGAGTCTTTGATGTATGAAGTGCTGTAATGCAAGGAGACACTTCACAGATTCATTCACAGTGGCACTGCTGAAGCAGAATTTGTGAGTATTATTCAGACAAGCACTGACACAGATTGAATTTTACCCAGCACTATTTAAAAAGGAGGTGGTAAGTATATTAAAAATGCATACAAGATTTAGAGGGGATGCTTAACCTACTTAACAGATAGACTATTTCCAAGTGTTTTTGAGTTGTGCATTTGTACCCAGTTGATAACATTCATGACAAATGCTACTTATGTATTTATCAAATCTGGCCCCAAAGTAACTCTATGTGACATCAGTTTAAAGCCAAAATGGAATTACTCTGTGTCTTTAAAATACTCAATCATCTTATTTAAAATCAAGATGGCTTTCCTAATTAAGGCTGGTCTCCAAAATGAGTCAGATCATTTAAAATATATAGCTGGGGGGTAGGATGAGGAGATGTTGCTCAAAGGGTACAAGTTTCAGTTTGGAGGAATAAGTTTTCACGATCGGTTGTACAGCATGGTGTCTATGGTTAATAATAATGCACTGCATACTTGAAAACAGCTAAAACATAAAATATTCTCGCCATAAAAAATTGATGAGTATGTGAGGTGATGGACACATAAATTAACTTGATTTAATCAATCCACAGTGTATACACATATCAAAATTTTGCATTCTACCCCATAAATATATACAATTTTTATTTATCAATGAAAAATAAATTATTTTTTTGAAACAAATAAAATATAGTTCATATTTAGCCAAAATCAACCAAGGAGCAGCAAGTCCCAGCCTGGGAAAGGAGTGTTGTCTCTTTTCAGCAACTAGGGGATATGGCTCAGTCAATTAGAAGCTTGGTTACATTCCCTTTCACCACTGATTTTAGAGGTGTGCTTCTGAGTTTATTAAAAGTTGTACCAGACACTGGGAAGGATGCAATTATTTCTCAAAAGTGTACATCTCCCCCTAGGTCTTCTGTGTTTACTCTGTGACAGAATCTAATTATCTTGAATTACCAGTGGAGTGCACCGCCCTGCTGGCCAATCCACATGGAACTCCATACACGTTTGCATTTTCAATTACAACTGATTCTCTGTATTTAAAAAAGTGAGATTTCATGTAACAAGCAAGCTGAGTCCATGTTACGACTGATGCATTTGATTATGGTAGGGAGGATGCAGTTGAAAGGAATATAATTTCCTGAAAAGATATCTGCAGCAAGGAACTTTGGAGCAAGCTCTTTCACTTCTCAAAATGAGTTAGACTTGTAAAGTGTGGCAAGCTCACAGCAGATTTTCCATTGTTATCTTTTTCATTAACACCTGAAAGGATATTAATCTATTTTTATGTTCTTGCTATTCCCAAGATAAGAACACCTATGTACCCTTATCCAACTATACTAATCCTTCACACATTTGTCAGGTAGGGATGAGCACCTGCTCCAAAAGTGTTGCCAAGGCTTTCACAACAGGCTCCAATGCTGAGCACCTGTACTCAACACCAGGCATCACTTCTTCAACAAAGAAATTATACACACACGCACACACACACACACCTGAGATTGGTCTGAAGATCCACAAAGAAAGCCTCCATCTCTGGGCTCCTTTGATCCTCCGTGAAAGAAAGACAAAGCAAGGATTCATATCCCCACTGGGCAACTGGTAATGGAGATTCTGAGTGCTAAGCTCATTAATGCATAGCCTCACATTTAGTTGTAAGTGAATTTTGGTGACCAGTTAAAAGGACACACTCTCCACTACACCAAATACGTCTCCCCTTTGTAAGGTTGACAAACATGGTTAATTAAAAAAGAACTTAGTAATGATGTTTTATTTTTTAGTATGTAGAATAGGCTCCATAACCAACAGAGCATTCTATGTAATTTCTCAGAATGGGCAGATGCTTGTATTAATGTGATGTGAAGACTCAAAAGTCAAACCCAGAAAAATCACAAATGGCCTAATTTTCTACCACATTAACCATACCATGGCTTATGGGTAGGACTCTAAGAAATCCAAAACAATTTGTGGGTAGCATTGCTTCGCCCAATTTAAACACAGAAGCTGGGTCAGAAGACAGTCTGTGTTCAAAGCTCTGCTAATCTCAGATTCATCCCATACTCACCTAATATAGAGCTGTCTGAATGGCTGTTATCTCAAATAACTAGTACGTTGTGACAAGCCTTGTCCCATTCAACTTTGTTATCTCCAGTGCCTGATATGTAGCAAGTAATTGGTTGGTCTTTTTTTATCACAAAATAAGGAGGAACGGATTAGCATCACACCCATTAGACAGAGGAGGAATTAGAGACACAAAGAGGTGAAATGACTTGTCCAAGGCCATACAGCAAATGGCAGGGTCTCTTTGGTGGATTCCTTGCATTTGCTCTACTAACTTTTACTGAGTAGCCATTATGGTACCAGTCATCAGGATATAGAAATGATAGTCAAGTTCTTCCCCTTGAAGAGCTCACTCTGACACGCTAATCACCACGATAGGGGAATGTGCAAAGGTGCGGGGAACACAGTGGTGGGAGGAAGTCCTTGTGCAAAGGATTTGGGAAAGGCTTCAATAGCAGAGGTGAGAGGAGCAGTGTGTGTGTGTGAGCATGGACGTGTGTGTGTTTGTGTGTATACTTTTTTCAGAGGCTAACATTATACCTGGCACATAGTATATGTTCAAATAATATGGGTTTAAGTTAAACATAAACATAAAGTCCTTACCTTCAAAAAATTCATACTGAAGTTCATTATACCAATTTTTAATTGACCATCTTAAAGAATGCAAATGACATTGGCACCCCACATACTTTACTATTATTGTTGTTGTTATAGTCAGAAGGAGCCCCAAAAGATCCCTGGACTAAGATAAGATAAAGAGAGCTTTACTCAAGTCTGAACTCTGCCAAAAGCTACCTAAGTGACCTCGGTCAAGTTGCTTGTCCACCCTGAGCCTCAGTTTTCCTACCTGTAACAAGTGAGCTTTGGCTTGGATGGCCTCTAGGGGTTGTCTCAGCTAGCAATGTCATTAGTCTCAGACTCTACTTGTTCTGCCTCCCTCACAAGCCTGCCAAAAGTGGAAGTGATCTAGTGCACGTGCAAGGGCTTTGGATACCATACAGTGCTGTCCACACTCACGGTTCATGGCTGCCAGCCATCGCCGTGTGAGCTGCATGCCTCCAGTTAGCAAACAGGCAACTTGGGCACTATGTACCTTTCCCCCTGGCCTCTCCTGAAATACCAAGAATGGAATCAATGTCATTTTGGAAGTATTTACAAATTCCTGTGATTAAGACAAATAAGTGTGAACAGCTTAGTGGTTTTCAAATAAAAATATGGGTGAATAGAGAGTGAGAATAAATCAACAAAATCAGGTTGGAGTTTATTTTCACAGGGACTTGGACTTAAATGACTCCCCAGTCATGGTAGCTGACCTTGGTCTCTGACTTCCTGGGGGGGGGGGTATTTTCTTTTTTCTTTCTAGGGAGTGTCCTCCCAAAAAGTGCTATAATAAGGCTATAAACATATACACTTGGCAGGCTTACAAGCCACCACAGCGTAAGAACGAAGAAACATCAGCATCCTCCCTCCTCCAAAATTAATTTAAACCTGAAAACATTGAATCCATGTGTCCAATTTATGTGAATGAGGTCTTCTCATTAGCATCAA